TATAAGTCTAGGAATAAGAAAACATCTCCTAATGGTTATCAGCTAATTTACTTTCTTTTATTTTCAGGGCGTGATGTGGCTGAAAAGTTTATTGGACGTCATGTCGCTTATCACCATCATTACGTATCAAATTACTCTCTGGGTAGGTTTTCAATTTGCACTTTGTCAGTATTGCTATAATTAGTATCAGTGCCTTTTAAATTATTAACGATAATACCATTTGTTTATTTGTTTTTAAGCTGGCTCAGAATCCACGCACAAAAGCGTTTACATTCGACCAACATGTTATCCTTTCCCATTGTCTCATGGTCAAACTGGCGAGCAAACTTCTGTGAATGATGAAGCAGAGTGCCGAGTTTTGGATGCTATCAATCAGCTTAATTCATCATTGGAAGAATGCGTAAATCCTAGGTGTTTCTTTATATAATACTTGTAATACGAATGTGAGCTGGTCGATATGATATGTATGGGTTACTTGGTGTCAGCGAGCTGTATTTTCAGTTCGCCATAGTAATTACACCAGTGACCAAACATATCCCTATCGCTTAGTTCGAATCATCTGCATTAATAAGTATTTGTGAACCTTAGTTGTATTTTCTTATTGTGCATCCAAACAGTTCTATTTTCTCTAAAACTTTTACTGGTAGTTATTGCATTGTGTTCAGGATATAGGGATAGTTGATATGCACATATTCCGTCTATGTAAGTCGTTTCAGAGATTCTACCTAAGCACATTGTTACAAAACATTCAGGCAGTAAACCCCTATATAGTTCTCATCAATTTCAGAATTTTGTGATAATTTTTATGGGATATGTTGTTTTTTCTACTTTTGTGAAGCTTTATTTCGAAAGAATTTGTTCAAACCAAACACTTTCAACTGGGGTTATCGATAATTGAAACTGACATAATGTTGTCCTGTTTGATGCCTGAATTCAGAAACTACAAATAGTAAACATTTGTGAAGGACGTTACACCTTCGTGAACACTTCTTTCTTTTGTAATACAATTGGTTTATTTTTATTACCATCTTAAGCAAATGTATGTAAAAGTACAACGTATTCACCTCTACTCGAATCTTCGCTGTTTCTTAAAATTCAGTTCATGTGTTGTTAGCCTTATTGCTATACAAATTTAATTTGTATGGTATGTCAGAAATTAATGGTTTATTTTATTTCTTTTTAGTTACCGGATAATAAAATAGCTCAATCTCTCCTTGCTTCAGCTAGATCAGTAGCTGCATCAGTTCAAAATCTTATCAGAACTGCCAGAACTGTAGTCTCTGTCCCACCAACGGAAGCTGTGGATAGAGCTCGGACAGCAGAGAGTGCCTCACAGAAAAGCGCTAGTTCAGCTGCCCTTTGGCGTACTGAGCTCAATATATCCCTTGCCACTCAGCATTTGTGTCATCTGTCCAAATTATGTGCAGAAACATTGCCGTCTCCAACATCGACGAAACTTGGTGATGGTAACGGAGAAATACCAGGGCGACTAATCTTATCTCGCGAAAGACTCCTAGCTGCTGTTCGACAAGTGGCAGCTGCTGGAGCGCAACTGCTGTTGGCAGCCAAACTAAGGAAAGAAGCACTAATGTCTGCCGATATTCGCAAGCTAAAAGTATGTTTACTGACCGGAATGTTTCTATCGGTTAAATTTAAAAGCTTAAGGAATTGCGTTTACTAATAATGCAAATCATTGCAAGAGTAATCATTTTCATCTGCTATAACTCAAGCATGTGTGTGTATTAATTGCTTATTAAACCATGAATTCAAACAACTGACCTAGTTGGTAATAGGTTATCAAGCCTTAACCGATACAGGTTTTGTTATCACACGATCACATTTGTCTACCAGATTAAAAATGTAGAGGACTTTATTCACTTGTACACGAAAGGCTCTGTCGTGTAATAGCTAGTTAGCAATTCTCATGATTTCAAAAATAATTGTTTTTTTTTCTGGGTTTTGTGTAGTCGTAATTCTAAGGGGAAATAATTGAAATTGTGCATTTTAATGGGATAAAGAGTAGTTTTATGGGTTTACTTTTCCGATTATAGACCGCCGGACAAGCAGTGAAGGAGTCTACAGACCTACTTGCTGAAATTGTTCAACGAGTGCCTAACGATTCAACACCACCTAGAACTGCTATAACTTGGCCAACGTATACAAATCAAACATTATTACAGGTAAGGTATATTCGTTATGTAAATAGAATTTGTCGTGACGGCATAGAGGTAGGGAAATTCTTCATATTGGTATATAGTGTGGTAGCACAGATCTAACGTTTGCAAACGACAAGGGAAAAGATATAGAAGCTGGAAGATTTCTTCAAAAGAGGAACTCGCATTCCAACTGTTTCTGCAATTTTCATATGTGAAGTCTACAAGCGTGATCAATCACACTTAGCTATTTTGGATTTTATTTCATTTTCTGAAATTTGAATGGTTAATTAGTTATTGCACATCGTTTCATGAACTAATCTGCTTTATGACAGACTTATTAAATTTAGGCTACCTCCTTTATTAGAAGTAATTTATCCTAATTTTATTTCTAATTTGATATAGAGTATTCAAACTAAGGCTCAAATTCACTCTCAGCAAATGGAATTAGAGGCACTGGAATCACGTCTTGCTCGTTTACAGCAATCGCAACCTACGTAAATCGTACCTACAGTTCTATTGTACAGTACTTCAGAATGATGATTACCATCAGTGGATCTGCTTTTTCATTAAGTCTTTTTCAGTTAATTAATATTTCGGATTTCTCATTTCTGTGTCGATGATTCAGATTCTTTCAGGTTGATTTTATTTATTTGTTTTCCGAGTGCTTATAAGCTTTCATCAATGTTATACAGCATAATTTCAGCTATCTGTTAGTTTCACTATCACCAAATGTTCTGTCAAGACACACATTAGACTAAGTAATATATATTTATTTTATTTCCACATATTTATTGAATGCAAATTATCTATACATGGCATGTATTATATATCGCTTTGAGATTATTAGCAAGTTCTAACTCCCGGCAATTTATTGTGTCATTATTACCCCTTTGTTTTGTGCTTATATGGTTTTGGCGCCCAGTCATTTAATTGCCTTATTCTTTGAAGTATTTACTGTATTTTATGAATAATATTGGGATACTCTGATGAAAAAAGTTTCAGTTTATACTTACCTGCTATTTTCTTTACATTAGACGTTTCACGAGCGCTCAATATTATCTTACCACTCACTAGTTGATCGGTGTCGAAGTGCTAATATTAAATTGGTACAAGTCACATACTTGTTTCGTGCGTCATGTTTTCGACATGGTTTCTGATGGAGCGGGTAGGCACACACATATGGGTCGAATACAGTTAGTCTGACTCTCAAAAGTCAGGCTTACGAAGTTACACCTACAAGACCTGGTGTTGTTGGATCGAGGATTTCTGGCGGATAAGTGTTTGATCGCTGTTGATACCGCGCCTGCTGAGGACATGCATGTTTGTAGAAAGTTATGGTCGTCTAGTCAGTAGTAGGAATGTGAACGCTATTGATGTCGATCACTTCATTTGTGTGCATAATTGGAGACTCATGAACAGCTCATACTACCTAGTGGTCCGCATTGTGAGAGATAACATTAGGTAAGGATAAATTCCTGAAGGTCGTGGAGTTCAAAGGAGGTGTGCTTAAGGATAGCAAGTCAGTAGAACTTAATTGTTTAGTTCTAAAAGCCATTTAAAACAGTAGTCAGAAATAACTGAATATTATCGCCACATTTAAGAAATCAGTAACAGTTTCCTCACGATATTCTAGGTAATTTTGTTTACCTCACTTTTTAACTAGCTAAAATTTCACTTCATATTAGAATTAACAGCATTCCACAATCCTGCAAATATATTTCACAACAATATTTTGTAAGTTTTAACTTTTGAATAACTTACATTTTGGAATGCGCTCAATTGTCGTATATACTAACTGCTGCCTAATTACTAACAAGAAATAAAAGGTAGTTTGGTAAAAATAAGTCAAAACAGTTTTATTGGACTATCAGTAGGATACTTGTGGATATCAAAATTCAAGTAAAACACTCATGTGAAATGAGGGTTTACGTGTAGTTACATGAGTAATTTTTCAGGCCTTGAAATAGTTTGTTAAAAGACGCTGAAATGCTAAATGTTATTTTGGAAATACACATTGGTTTGAAATTAAGGTGTAGATAGTAATTTGTGCGTTCGTTTGTGTGCAAAGATTAGCGTCTGCTATTTGTCTATTATCCTCGTGATCGTTGTCATGTAATTAAATCAGAAGCTGCGTTAACCATAGTGATTACACAGTGTTGAATAACAAGGGTAGGGAGGAGTAGACTAAAAAGCTTAAATATACATTTAAAACCTTATTTATTCATGTGTTCACCTGAAGGGTCGGTACTACGGATCGACATGTCAACAAAGACTGCACATTCACGTGTTGTTTTATAGGATTTGATTGGTTTCAGGATTCAGCCATGGGCTGCCATTGGTTAGAGAACCGTCGGAAAACCTGGGAATACTAGGCAACTGTCTCGTCCTGGTTAGGAGCTCTTCAACAGTCCGCAACCACTGGGGTTCAAGATCAGGACCTCCCAGTTACAAGGTGAGCTTGTAGATTCGGTCCATAATAATCAGTCACTTAACGGAAAATACAAAATTAACTAAAACGAATTAGTTGAGATTAGTTTAAAAAAACTACATAAAAAAGAACAACTAAAGACAGTCATTTAACAATATTATCAACAAAACGAATACAACTTGATCTTGTAATACAATCATTATTTTTAACAACAGGATTAACCAAGAGATGTATCGAGAAAAGGAAGATAGTGATTTTATCTCATAATCTATTTATATCAATGAATCAGTACGTACCATAAATGAAGAGCATATTTTGAAGCTTTGTTATGTTGTGTATAGTGCATTAACAGAATTTTAAGTGTAGAAATCATAATAAAATTTTATTAAGATAACATTAGTTAAGGTAAGTAGAATCTATTGCATTTCATATCTATCGTCTTTTGAATTCAACAGAACACATACCTGATGATCTGGATATATAGGTAGTTTCAATTTGTATTTATCTACTAGTGAATTCGGTACAAATCGCCCGCCTGAATAAAGAGGATAAAAAGTATTCAATAAGTTACGGAAAGTAAAGGTGAGGGATATAATTATAAGATGGAAAATACACATGCTTGAATACTTACTGTGAGTAAATCAAAATTGTACAAAACCTAATCGATGAAATGAGGAAATGTAGCCATTAATATTAACGCTTATGGTTTGCGTACCTAGGGGAATACGGCTATGATATCCAGAGAACTTGCAGTATCTGTTAACAGTATTCAGAATTTGTTCTCCCTAACAGATTTTTATTCGTATCACTTATAATTCCTCAATCATAGCTTCATGTAGTGGTTACGTGAACTTCAGTCAAACTATACTTAATAACATAGCTTCGATCCACCAGAAGACAACAGTGACAGCCAAACAAGTCTTTTGTACCTGTGACAAAACTTCTTCAGTTATTGAACACTGATAAAGAACCTGTTGTGAGGTAACAATTTACATTGCTGAAGTGAGAAATGCATCATGAGCGTTTTGGGAGTGTTATTCATAATGCTTAGAAGACCTGAGATATTGTCAGTGTACTTAACCAACAGGACAATGTTGTTTATGCGCTAAGAAATTTCCTGGGTAGAGCATTGGTGGTCGAATAGTAAAATGCTTGCTAACCACGCACATGGTCCAGGGGCCCATTCTCGACTGATGTACTCCTAAACTTCGCATATCCGGCAGTGAGTTGTTTAAAGAAGGAGAGCTGGGCATGAGGCCAGCAACCTCACTTCGTAAAATAACAGAGGCGCTACAGAAACTTCAAAACTCAAGCCTGAATTGCTATGTTTCACTCAGAACACAAAGAAATCAATAAAATTAATATATGAGGACTTTAATAAACACATCTATTATAAAGTTAAACTGCAACGCATCTTTAAGATTCTACAAGAAAGAAGAGATAATCACAGAGTAGTCAGTCTGCCGTAATAAAGTTTATGACAACTCAACATTTAACTGAATGTAAATAACAATTACCGATACGAGTGCAATAGACCTTAAGATTTTCAAACAGGTATCATGATTCCACCGCGATGCGTTGATGAGATCTTCACTATTCATGCGTGTGAGATATACGTTGAAAACTTGTAATGTCAGTGAGTTTCACGGTATTCGGCATGCTGTTATGGTGTCTAAGTGCAGTGAATATGGATAACTTCTCCACATACCAAATACACTTAGACATTACTTGAAAGCACAAAGATGAGTTAAAGTGACCGTGATGAAATACAGAAAACAACTTTCCATTCCATTACATTGAGATCCGTATGAAAAGTCAGCCTAAATGTGGAAAAATTTAACTCTGTTTTATAAATAACAACCTATTTGTCTTTTATTTATTTATTTCCTGATAATTGTTCATTAATATAGTACTTTAGTGTTTACACCACATCATCCTTGTTATTTTGTCGTTATTTGTCACCCTTGAACTTACATCTAGCATATCCCATTTATTGGCTGATTGCTCTGTAGTATTCATATTGTCTTTCACAACAATGACTACATTCACCCTTGAAACATGTACTTTTGTTAACTATATATATGCATACACTGAATTATTTTATCGAATTTTATCTTATATTCGTTTGACTACATATATGAAGATTTAAATGATAATCAAAACTGAATACTTGTTCCATTATACACTTTCTGAAATAATTCTAATTCGCCTATATTGGTTGTTGTATGCTGATATTAGTGGATTTATAATTGTAGAGCCTGAAGAAGGATTTATTAAAAATGATTGTTCGCTTTAATTATTCTTGTTCTAGATAAATTATAAGGATATTCAGATAACAAATCAATTTGGAATATTCCATTCAACAATTTATGCAAATATATTTGCAAATGTACAGCTAAGGCTATTAACATGACAACGACCGTTTGTTTCCTTCTCAGTTATCGAAAATACCATAGTTCCCTATCAGTTTAATATCCTAAACAGAAAAATGTGACATCGGTCACAATCATGGACAGCACTTATGGATCATCGTTTCAGTAAACAGTCAATTGATGGTTAGAAAATCAGTGATTAGAATTAGACAGTTTAAGGTCAGAATCAATACAAACAGGAAGTTATTTTGACATTATGATGTGTGTGTGAGAGAGAGATAGAGAGGAAGACGGAGACATAAAGATGGTTGTGGGTGGTGTTGATTACAGTGTAACATTTGTGTGAAAACAACTTCATTTACGTCAAGTCAGATAAACAAAACGATCGTTTATATATATATATATATATATATATATATATATATATATATACGTACCTACTGGATACACAATGCACTTCAAGTATTTAGATGTGAACACTTCAGACGGTAGTAACTGGAACTCTAAGTCAATCAGTGCGCGCGTGTTGTGTGCAGATGCATAGCATAGTTTGTTCTTATTCAAACTGATTGGTAATGAATTTAGTGAATCTGTTTCTTGTAATTATCTTTTCAAAAGTTAAATTATTTTTCCCTTGATTATTATTTACACTGTTAGTTCTGGTTCGTTTTATTATCTTCAAGTGTTAAGTGAGGTTTATCTATCATTCCCTTAGGTTTTGAGTGGAACACAGGGCTTCGACAGCACGTTTCCATTTCTTCTTGTTCGCTGCAGTCCTCTTCAGCTGGTCCCACGATTGTAAATAACCTTCTATCTCTTCCTAATACAATATCCAGTTTGTGTGACACTGGGCATAAATCGTCCACGAAGTTCAGATCTTCTAGAGTTTTCCTATCGGTCCAACGTATTCATGTCTTTTAGCTCCCCACAACCTGACGCATAATCCAGTCCACCAAAATTAGGAATATCATCGGTGATATTAGCCAATCTTGTACTCACTTCAAGGGCATCATCGAGTTTTCTGTTGGGGACCACTTGACACGTAAGATTGTCATATAGCTGTTGAATGAGGTTGATAAAGATTTGGGGTACGCTATAATGTTGCAGTAGTTTCCAAATTATTTCGCAGTCAACGCTGTAGAAGGCCTTTTCAGAATCGATGAAGTTGGGGTAGAGGTTTGACTGTCATTCTATGCTGTCTTCCATGATGATACGTAGAGCTCCAATTTGATGAGCACATGATTTGCTTCAGCTGAATCTAGCTTGCTCCGCTCGGAGTTCTGCATCCAGTGCATCTTTTAGCCTCTCCAGGATGATGTGACTTAGTATTTCGCTTGAATTGGACGAGAGCATGATTCTGCACCAGTTCTTGCAGGGGTAGAAGTCTCTCTTCTAAACGTTTTGCAATATTGGCGTAAGCATATTTGCTGCAGTCTCGTCTCTGGAACCGTCTTCAGTTATTTAGGAGGAATTTCGCCTGATCGTTTGGCTTTCCCGGACTTCAATAGCTTGATTGCATTCAAGACTTCTGCTTTTGTTGGTGGACTGGAGTCCACTGGCAGTTCTGTGCCTGTTGTTGATGGTATTTCTAGATGAGTTGCAGGTGATGGTCGGTCCAATAGCCCTTTGAATCGATCAGTCCATTGTTTTATTTGTTTCTCCTCTTTGGTTGTTAGGTTCGCTTGACCATCTTTCATTAGACTCATCATCTGGGTTGATCTCTTCGTGGACATAGAGCTGGTTATCTGATATGTGTTGAGGTCTCTTTTACCTGCAGCCAGCCTGTTCTGCTCCAGTTGCCGACCAGTGTGTCGTAGAATTGTATTTTGTCTTCCCTAACACTCTTCACTTCTCTATTCAGTGCGTTTTAAAATGAACTCAGCTTTTCCTTCTGTTGTCCATTTTTGCATTGGTTTGTCTTCCGTTTCATCAACCCCCTGTATAGAGCCAATCGTTGTCTTGATCCTTCCTCCCTTTCACGTTTCCTTAAACATTACCTTCAGAGAGTTCCAGCGTTCTTTCCTCGGTGATGCTACTTAATAACGCCAACTTTGCTCTAACGGCCAGACTGGAAAAGAGCTAGAGGCGGTCAAACGAAAACATGGCACCAGTCAATGAAATCCACAACAGTTAGTCTAAGCTACGTAGGGAGATGTAGACTTCCTGGTTGGGGTCCTCGGGACGGTAAAAACCAATGGTTGGAAACAATTGGTGACATGGCTCAAAATCGTTCTCAGTGGCGCAGATGCATCCACTCCTTGTGACTTATGATTTCCAATTAAACTGTTTTGTTCTTCGTTATTACTATTCCTTTGTCTCACACCTCTGTTTACTGTCTATATTATGCATTTCTCCTACCTTCTCTTGCTTTGTGTGCTACATGGAGTGTGGTGACTTGAACTGCCGCACATTTGTGCAAAGTTTTATGTCGAAAACCGACCGACGGACGGCTGCAGTTGAGGTGAATCTTGTAGTTTCTTCCTTCAATTTCCGAGTGTTGAACTTGAATTGTGGTCTATCTTCAGCTGCTTTGTAGACTTCTAGCTTGACTTTGAAGGTTCCTTGAACCGTGGTCTGAGCTCACATCTACTCCCCTTCTCGTTTTCATCTCCGGCAGGCTGTTCCTCCATTTTCTTAAGATTGAGATTAAGGCTGTCTAGATTTTGGTGTGTCCGTCAGATGAGATCCATGTTGCCTTGTATATATCCTTGTGCTTATATGCTCTACTTCCGATCACGAAATCGTTGAAGGCGCAGAAGTCTGCAGAGAGTTCTCCGTCCTCATTCATTTTTCCGAGAGCGTCTCGACTCTTGATGAATTCTCTTCCCGTATTGTTTGTTCACAGTTCAGCATTCATATCTCCCATTAGGATCTTGATGTCATCACTTGAGACGTTATCCATTACTGTTTTGCAGTTGTCCATAGAAATCTTCCTTATTTTCTTATTCCGAGTTGTTTGTAGGCGCGTAGTGTTGGATGATTGTAGGCTTCCTTCCTCTTGAGTTGAATCTCGGTGCCACTATCCTGAAGGAGATTCGTCCCCTCTCTCCATAAGGGCTTTGGCCGCTATTGATGACACCATGGTAGCCACTCCCTCAGCGTGCCTGTCATCTGAGCGACCGGAGTAGGTTACTGATTCTCCAGTTGACAATTCGGAGAGTCCGCATCCATTCCACCTTCTCTCACAAATTCCCAGCATTCTATGTCGAACCTTCTCATTTCCTCGCCAACCTGGACAGCATTTCCAGCTTCGTACATTGTACGAACATTCCAAGTCCGAATGCTTATTTTTCGTTTCATCGAAAGAAAGCACATCAACTGACTGGCTTTTCGAAGGCTTTCACCATCCTGTGTCATTCTGTCATTCCGATTCCAACGAAGAATATTTTTCTTGTGCTTTGACGTTTCGTACGTACATACTACTAACTTGTGATATCAGTACCTATGCTTGATTAATTCTTCAGAGGTAAAATATTAGCTTAAGACTCTTTCTTTGTAATCTTAAGTCACCTATTTATTACTATGCATATAATCTAAACTGATTCATACACCACCAGATATAAATAAATCAATTTCAAGAACAGGGTTAATTTTACCTAGAAAATGATATCTTCCTTGGAAATAACGCGCACATAGTTTCGGTGCGGTTAGTGAAATTAAACAATCTGGCTGTATATTGTTCACATTGTCTAATGGTCCAGTCTCTACATTCCATCCTGTTATAATATAAATTAATAAAAAGGGGGCAATAATAATGAAAAAAATGACAGTAAGTCTCAGAGAAGAAAACTGTGAAAGTACAATAATACTGCCATCTTACCGTTAACATGTCCATTCATATAATGGCGAGTTTCCAGTATCCATCAAAGTGGGATAGATCAAGAGGAAGTTAATCTAAAAGAACTAGGTGTCATGTGATCTGCGTACTAATGAAGGAAGAAGCAATGAGTTACGCTCAATAATGGCGCTCCTTGTTGCTCCGTTGAGCATATACTCAACACTGGTCATTCGATTTGCAAGGAGAAGTCGTTCAAAGTCATCTATAAAGTCAAAAGAAGCCTTCCAAAATCGACAAGCTTTCGTATACTTTGTATTGCTGAAGCCTTAGCGATTTGGATGGAAAAGCCTAAGTTATGCACACAGAAGAAACTTCTCCAACCCCTCCTACTACCGTGGGTTTAATTCCAAGTTTATTTGTCATCAACATTTTGTTATCAAATTTTTTGCAATTTTCGTATAACAATTTTTAGTAACTAACCCATTCAATCTTTTCACCTATTATCTAGTTTATTTTGATAATTGTCTCCAAACTCCTTCACTAGCATCTAATCTTTCTAAACATGTCCATATTACGTAACCCTACTCACATCTTACCAATCTTCACCCCACTTAGTTACAACTTTGAGTATTAATCACACATTTTAACTTCTTCATTATCTTGATGATATAATCAACAACCCACACTAACTGTTATTTTGATTTTGACAAACCTAATGTACACACACACACACAAAATAATTGTATATATATTTGCGACTGTACAGCTAAGTGAATGAATTCGCCGAAAAGAGACTCTTCGCTGAACTAATTTGTTCTTATTTCAATGTCTTAATGGGTATATTTCGCGAATAATATATGGCTGACTGCCAATTGCCAGTCAATCTAAGCAACTTAATATATATTCTGTTCACAGAAAACACTACTACTACTATATGCTGGTCATTCTGCTGGGTCACTGCGCATAATGAACGATAATGCGATGTTAAAATATAGATTACTACTGAGACTTTGATACCTGTACTCGTGGGAGCGGACACAAACGACATTCTTTTCTTTGCAATCTGCTTTCCTTTTCATTTAGTGTTGACGTTTCGACGTTTTTTGAACTACGAATGGGGCGTCGACAACCTTACTTCTGAATACCTAGGCATCAGTGTCTTAGGAACTCCCTTTTCCATCGATTACTACAATATGTGTTTATAGCTCCAACCGGTAGAGTTGTGATATCAGCTAAAGATGCTAAAATAGAAATCCGTGCTATTTATCAGAAATCCGGTGGTTTGAACTGAGTCAAACCAGGTACACCATTGATGACTTCGACCCCAAGCGAGCATAATAAATATCCGGTGTTTAGATCACTTCGATCCGGTTAGAAAGCACGACTGGTTGATGTGAGTGGTATACAACTACTCATTTCAATCAATCAGTAGTATATAGCGTCGAGGAATCAAGATCCTTATGAAACAATGTAGAAAGCATAACTGAAGACAAAAAAGAATAAAAATGACTCTCGGAAATTGAAATGACAATGTAGGGTTTTTATATTTTACCATCAGTGTACGGTATTTTTACAAATAAACAGTTCTGCTACCAAATACAACCACATACTTCTGTTACACTATTATTCCCCCAAATATGGATCTTTGAGACTTGAATATGATCTACCACTTCTTCATAAGTAGGCAAAGTGGGATCTGATTCTTGAGCATTAATCTCCTCACACCCTTTTTCACTTTGAAAAATGTCACCAATATACTGATCTGTCATATTCAGAAACAGGCTTATCTGGAGCAAAATCTTGTTATGGCATTTGTAATGGTTTGAATTTTTTCCCTCCTTATTTACTCCCGACAGTATTCACATGTGAAAATTGTTACACGCACATAAGTTTCAGGACATATTTGATGAGGGCATGTTGCTCGGTGTTATCCGTACATCAACAAGTTCACGAGAAGCAGCCATGTAATCCCCCGAATTTTATTAGTGATTAAACTATCACTAATGATAATAATAATATTAATGACGATATGCACGTAAAACATGCACAGGATAATGACAACACCAACAATAGGGAATTTAAATCAGAAGTAGTCTTCCCATACGAGGAAGAAACCTTACGGAAAATTCTTAACAATGCAGGAATAAAAGTGGCATTCAAACCCATAGACTCAATTAGAAATAAGCTTTGTCGGTCAGAGGATCCTGGGGAGCCAATTCAATAAAACAACTTAGTTTATTTGATATCCTGCCGGAATGATTGTCAGGTTAAATACATAGGTCAAAGTAGTAGAACAGCGTCAGTCAGACTAGAAGAGCGTAAAATCCTGGCAAAGTCTAGATTCAACACCTGCCCCGGACATCTGGAGAATCCTACTAGGAAGGAATGAAGAAAACTACAAAATTGGAGTTTCCAAGTTATGTGGTTATAATTGATATGATTATGAACAATATATTTTGTTCAAAACGTCATCCAGTAAATAATACTGTTTCACTGTGTGATACATCTAATAAACAAACTAATATGGAATTACTTACTACCACAGTGCCCAATTTTTACACATATTAATAGGAAAAAGTTAAGGAATATAACCAAATTCATATGAAACAAATGCAAAGGAATATATGTGGGTACAGATGTCTTAGCAAACTCAATGAAGTAATTTCCACCATGAATTATCAAATCCCCTGTTTTTTATCCCTTATCTTCAAATTCTCATACTCAGACATATACTTTGAATAGCATCTAGGATGAGACATTTACATTCGTTATTATTTGAGATGTTAAGTATAACTTTGATTTGACAGGCATTCATACATTTTAAATTTTCACTGCTATTCTCAGGTTTCAAAATTTCAACATACGTAATCATACTACTAAAAACCGCTCAGTAGTGCATGGATTAGTGAGAAAACTTATCAAATATTATCACTGTTTGAGCTAACATCAAGGTGACTTCTTTCGCTAACAAATATAACTTGAAGAATTAAGTGAAGCCATAAAAGACTTGACATATTTTACGTCCTAGTTTCGAACTCTTCAGATGTGCGAAAGCATGAGTCGAAGACAGATACAGCCCAACGGATTGCTAAAAATATTTGAGTATTTGCTTTGAGTATCTAGGACGACCTCAACTTTTCGAAAGATGTATTGAAAATCAGAGTTTAAACTCCTACTATATTTTATCACTTGATTTCAAAGTAGTGTTTAGAGCATTTCTAGTGGATCACTATTGGAGTTAGTTTCTTATATGTAGTAAGGTCTATGGGAATTAGAATGAACAATCCTGTTTTGTATTCCAGACTTGGTTAATGACGAATCAATAAACTATCTTGCTACGCTTACTTCAAACCTGCTATAGTACTACAACTTTCGATTTCCGTTACATTTCTATTCAAAATTTAGTTCATTCACATCCTATAATATTATGCAACCAGAATTCTTATAATTATATCGACTGTCGTCATCGCTATAGATTATGCCTTTTTTAAAAAGGAGATGGAAGTTCAGTTTTAACTGAATCAGTCTGTTAATTATTTAGAATTGAATTGAAATGCGAAATATGTTTGTTTGCCTTAGTCATATTCTGTAACTAACTACCAACAATACACATGTCATCTAGTTAATATGGAATAAGAAATGATAAATCAATAGAGAAAATGTTCACCTGATGGGACATCAATTGATACAACAGGAACTTGAGTTGTCGAAATCACTTCTAAAACATTACTAAACTCTGGCCTCACAGGCGGTTTGAAACCAAATCCGAAAAGTGCATCGATAAATAAATCATATGATTGAGATAATTTAAGTGCCTATTTGATCAAAGACGAAGAAAACCAAACAGCATAGTTCATCGCTTTGACATACCATTCGATCGAATAGTGAAGAATACATGCGATTACACAATGTTTATTGCTAAATAATATACACAGTTTAAAGCATAGTGATGCAGTAAGAGTAAACATTTGATTATAATGATTCGATAAATTAACCAGAATAAAAACACTGTTGAGTTGAAACAAGTTTAACTTTTTGATTTGTTTAAAACCATTCTCAGTTATAGATGGATAGCTATTGAAGGATAATGTCAATAAGGTATTAATCTATTAAAGCGAAAGAAACAAAACCACTACTGAGACTTTAGTGATCAAGCTTGCAGCCCTATGTTTCACTAGGGACGCAAAGGAATGAAAAAAGGTCAGTTGAAATAATTAATTTAATCAAAATTCTTTTCTATGGCTGTACGATTACATCAATAGCCTTTTTCATTAGTTGGTCGAATGTGTAGTTCAAGATTATCGTCCATAGGAACGCAAATTTTCATCTCAGTATGAAGACAATTGTTGTGAGGGAGTGTTTACTGTTCTGTTGGTTGTTGTCTAACTTGGCTAGAGAATGAGCCTCCAGTCATGACACTGTAGCCAACTGATCACTTGAAAATATTTCCTCACACTGAGTAGGCACACAGAAGTCAGCATTAATTGAGACAACTAAGACGACGTCTTTATTAATCAGAATAAAGAGTAAATTATTCTTTACACATCAATGGAAATTTAAACCATAGATAAAATAATCAGTATCTCGTTGACTACATCAATCATGAATTTACGGTTAACAATGATGGTTAATCCGTCCTAACAATAATATTACAAAATATAGTTAGAAAAAACAAGTTTAACACTTCACAAAAAATGGGATGCAAAGATAGTGACACTACAGTGTCCCCAAATAAATGATGATAAATAAATTCAGCACTAGTATGTCCAGCCTTATCGCGGGTGAAATATCAAGCCAAATCATTTTAAGTATTTTTATCTAGCTACAAGTGGTTTCACCGTTTCCCCACAAGTAATCACTGGTATGGGACTTAGGCTAGTCGTTTGTAGAGACTTGAAAAATTCAGCTAAACCGTTTGAAATAATGGGCATTAAATAATTCATTTGTCTCTATCATCCAGGACGTTGGTGAACAAAAGATATGATCTGAGATGAAAGAAGCTTAAAACGCTACAGTGATTGCATATAATATATAACTATAGTTCGTTTAGATCGTATAACGACATTGAAGAAAGAGTTACTACCGATTCCAGAACACCCTATTTTTGAATGAAACTCAGAATTATCTTATTAAATGATAACAAAGAAATACTATTGAAGAAATCCCTCCAAATTCCCAATCAATTTCTGAATAACAAGGTTCAGTGACGCTAAGTTAGAATAAAAATCCATTTGGCAAGCAGTTTGCGTCGGTGGTAGAGGGGTAAGAAGCTCGCCAACGACGCATGTAGCTCGGGGTCCGATCCCCAGCAGAAGCATTCCTAAACCTCTCCAGGCCGGTAAAGAAGGAAGGTTGGTGGTAAGACTAGCAACCCCACCGCATAAAAATAAACACAACTGCTACCGAAACTTCAGAGCTCTAGCCTGAAGCCCTGTGTTCCACTAGGAATGTAAAGGAATAAAAAAAATAGCAAGCAGTTTGACATCTTAACCTTGAAAAGTTCAACTTTCTACTTCCTTGAGATATATTTAGAAACAGTTAAAGCTGAACAAAAAGAAACATGCATAAACGCATTTATCTGTCACTGGAAATGTCAACATACTCCATCAGTTAAATTGGATAGGAACGGGACGTCCGTTTTTTCGCATTGAATGATCAGATTTTTGTACAACTGACTAGTTGGAGTACGCGGATAATACACGGAAGGTTTATAACCCTGAAAAAAAACATAAAATACTAGTAGTAATATAATTCTATGAAACATAAAAGAAAGAAACTGACGTGAGACTTATATAAAAAGAACTATTCTTCTAATACTTAACTACAGAAGTGTTTACAGAAAAAAAACGAACACAAATTTCGGAGTTTATATATATATATATATATAGATTCAAGTAGTTGTTTAATTACTATGTATATGTGTGAATATCCCGCCGAACACATATCGTATAAAAGTTACTATCTTCCAGTTGAGGTTAAGGAGCTTACCTGACCATCTAACTGTGTCTGACCTAGACGGAGTTTCCAACGCAGAACTTTGCATAAAAGTACAGCAGTTCAAATTGCAACACTTCATAAAGCTGATGATACTTACTAGTTACCCACTAGAGTATGTTTCAAATTGATATTAGCTGATTGGAGGCAGTCGGCATGAAGCATGGGACCTAGGTTTTGTGCTAGTTGCCAACCATCAGCAAGGCGTATCTGCAACCCTGAAAAAACTCACGTTCCTTCTGAGATTCGAACCCGCGTCACCATCCAGTAACGCAGTCAGAGACGTTGCCACTGAGCCATTCGGGCTCGCCACTGACCTCCTGTAGGACTGTATTGGGTTTCAAATCACTGATCCAGTGGTTGGGATCGAATACCTAAACCAATGAGCTCCACCAGCTACGAAGTAAGTTAGAGTTACTATACGCACACCACTAACAAAAATAAAAACACAATTACACTTACAAACATTTTTAAGTGTCGAGCACACACCAAACCATCTCCACCATTATTTCCTGGTCCACAGAAAACCAGTACAGAACCATTAGCTCTAGATAATTCTTTGAGAGGATAAGCCTATATTATTTATAGAAGAAGTTAGTTACAATGATGTCAAATTTTCAAAACGAATTATAAAGCTTCCTAATATGTTAAATAATTCAAAAAGGTGAAAGTTAATGCATTTTGTGTTCAATTCTGGATCAAAATTGTTAAGTAGCTATTTGAATGAATAAATGTCTGCAGGTTCGTTTTTCTCTCTTGATGGAAGGGAAAAGATGCTAACTAAATTAGTTGCTTCTATCATTCAATGATTGATAACACGTATTGATAGATACTATCTATCAAGGAAGTATCATTTTCGTAAGCAAAATACTGGTTACATTAGTTGAAATACACATGGTGGTATTTCCTTCGGTAGTGGTCAACAGTGATATCCAACAAGCATGCCGCATACTACTTGAAACTTATCAATTTGATATGGTTCATCACCACACACCCTCACACATAAGGCTGAGGTGATTCTGTACAGAGCTGACAATAGAATAGCCTAATCAATTTGCATAGAATAAAAGCGAATATATCAGGGAAAGATTAAAACAGGCTATATACAAGGTCTATTAAACAGTCAGAAGCATAAATGCAATATCCTTTTTTGAGTATATTTTACTAATCTCCATATTAAAAATACGACGGTTATTATTTCCTATTTTTTGACATTTTTAAAAGCTGAAATGTAATGACAATAATCGGGCTATTATGATGGTAATGTGAAGATGGTATATAAAGTCTAGTAAATATTACTATCACTATCTGCATGAAATTCGACATTATATCCAAACAATAATTAAGACATACACTTCATTAGAATTTCGATAACCCTAAATGGCAAAACAGAAATCAAACAAAAGTAAATAAATAGCAAATATAAAGTAGAGGTGTGGTGCATCCATTCGGACATTCGACTTCAGACCAGTGAGTTCCAGGATGGAATCCCACTTAGCCAAATTCAGCTTAAGTAACTGAGTTATTGTACACGATAAGTAAGACTCATGGTCCTAGTAAGTGAAAAATGTGTCACTCAGGATACCTGAATGGCTGGTCATCGCAGTGACAAGATTATATACATATATACATATAGCATCTAAACTTATATAAATGTACTACCTAACACGAATAGTTTATAAATATCACCTGCTTCTGAGCATTCATGATGAAATGGTAAAATTTATTTTCTAATTTTAATTAGAAGATTCTCTTGAAATAAAAAGCAACAATATTTTCAATGTGTGATATTATCAAACAAAATAGTTACTTTATTAATAGCAACAGCGCAGCTTAAACCAGCCAACTCCATAAGTTGATCAACAGAAAAAGCATATTCATTGAATAGTTCATTGTCCAATTGTTGAGCTTCTATTTGACTATAAGTAAATAAATAAAAATTATAAAATGGATTAAACTTCAAGAAAAAAACTTTAAATGAAAACTAAAGAAAAATACAATTTCTACACTGATCAATCTTTCACTTCAGTAGATTGTTCTCATCTAATTTTTTACCAGTTGGTAATACGGAAGTGTCAAGATTTAGTTACACTCAGATGTGGTTTCTTATGCAGCAGGCCACAGACCATACTTACTGTGTGACGACTGCTGATCTACTACTACCTGGCCACCAAGCTAGAAGCAGGTGGACCTGCTGGCTGAAAGTCCACAGCTGAAGCTAACGAGCTATATCTCTACTCAATCAGCAAGCAACTCCTAATCACGGCAAAATGTTAAATAAGAATGAAACTACAAGGAGACAAATACTATAAGAGTAAGTCGAATAACTTTCCTTTAATAATAGAAAAATCCAAGAATCTCGTTTGAGTGAATTGAGACGGTAGCTGCCTAATTATAACTAGTAATTCACTGGTCGAATGGAGATTTTAGACAAAAAATGACCTTCAGAGATACATACAATAATGGAAGAGTTGGAAAATGGATAAAATACAGTCGAAACGATACAGGAGAAAAATAGTTGAAACAAGTAACATTTCCTACCAAATGAATACTTATGGTTATTTTATGGCCGATAACATCGAAACTTAGAGAATATTTCACACTGGAAGGTTTACCGAGGGAATATGTTACGTTTGTACTGGAAAATTTTCTCTTCCTGCTTTGATTACATTTTTTCAAGAGGTCACGTCATATGAGTACTTTAAGTTGATTGAAAAACCGATCTAGGAAAGTTTGAATTATTCGACTGATCAGAGAAAAGTGGGCGTAAAAATTTCTGTACAAACTATCATGACTTTTCTGTTAGTGGATTTGTCTACTTGAGTGTCGGTAACTGCATACTAGCAATTCTGACAAAATATATGTAACACACAGCCTGTGTGTTTGAAAAATCAGTCCCGAGTAGATGAGTTTTTACAGGCTTTTGCTTCAGGTCACAAGTAAAATTACAAAATGGCAGGAATGTGAATGAAATGTGATAAGTAATCTGAAGGGTTTTCCTTTCCGCTAATTAAATATCTAGAGTTGATTAGATATATATATGTAGAGAGTTATTCATAGTTTGAACCCGTTTTTTATTGATTGATAAACGAAATAACAGTGACAATGAGCTTTCCAAAGTATATGCATGTAGATAATACGTCTTAATGTATATAAATGAGTTTTCTTCAGTCCAGTGTTTTCAACTGTCAGTGCAGCACAAAGTAAAGCAGTTCAATTCACCACAATTCATAAAGGTATAGAAAAATTCAATACAACTACAACGGCGTAATCACATGAATAATGATGACTTTTAGATTCTAGAGGATCGTGTGGAGTAAATGCATCTGCACAACTGAGAAAGATTTCGTGCTGTGTCACCAAAAGTGTCCAACCAATGGTTCTTAGTGTGCTGAGGACCTCAACCAGGTAGTATACACTTTTCTACGTGGCTCAAACCAATAGTCAGCGAATTCATGGGCTAGTTTCATATTTTTGTCTGACCTCCTCGCACTCACTTCCAACCTAACGAAAGATAATAACATTAACGATACAAAAATATTTCTTTTAATTCACCACAAAACTACTTATTGTTTCATTATAGTGAATATTAACTGCAAACAGCTAATCACACGTCATCCATAAATAGACTCAAAACAAAAACTTGCTAGAATGTGGTCAGTGTTGGTGAACATTGCATGGATGTCCGATGGCCTTGCTTATTTGAATTAGCTTCATTTTCGTTGAGGGCGACCATTACTGCTGTGGTTTTGACGCTTGCTAGTCGACAGAAAACCAGAGCAATATGATCAGAAGTAACGATGTGTGGTGAGAACTGGCTGCGAACAAGCCAAAATTATAGACAGCAATTTACGTCAATGTTATGTCCCGAATCAGGAGCATGAGAAAAACAATAACAAGGCTTAACCTTGAGGAACTCACCAACCAGTCACAGAGGGCTTAACGTGTGCAAATACGATTCGCAGATATATGATTTAACTTTCTGAGAAACGGACACAAGCAATACACAATAACCTTCAGCAAGAAAACAATCAATCAGAAGACATCGCTTCTCCGCTGACAACAATGTACATAAAAATCTATAAATATCTCTTGATTCTCCCAATAAACAATTTGCTGCCTAGCCTTTGTCTTCTGTCGTTACAGCTGTATATTATATTGACACTTATTTTTATACTTTTTCAGTGCATTTATTGTGACCAACTGTGAACTAGATGACCAAACTGTTGTATAACTAACCTCGCTTTATTGGTTGATTAATAAATTTTCAACATTTCTATGTATTTTAACGTCGACTCCTCTGACGTTGTGTTGCTAATTATATATCTGTATAGTATTTTGAGTTCTGGAGGGTTGTCTTCTGGCCACAGTAATAATTCCTGACAGTGTTATCGACAGTTTCTGAACTGGTCATTATACCAATGTGTTATCGTTATAGGCCAATGTTTTTAAAAATTTCGCTTAACGGATTTTGTTCAGTTTCCCTCCCGAGTAAACTCATTACACACTATACTGATTGGGTGAATCAACTACTCAATTATTAATAACATGTTGAAGTGAAATGGAAATTATTAACTTGTTTATTAGATTTATTACATATTGAAACAGTATTATTTACTGGATGATGAAGTTTCGAGAACAATTTATTGTTCATAATCATATCAATTATGATAATAATGTTAATTGATATGATTATGAACAATAAATTGTTCTCGAAACTTCATCATCCAGTAAATAATACTGTTTCAATGTGTGATATATCTAATAAACAAATTAATGTGGAATGACATACTACCACAGTGGCCACGTTTTACACATATATTAGAATGAAAACAAGTTATTAGCGACATTTAGTTTATGATAAAAGATGCCTGAATTTTTCATGAGATGGAAATCATCCAGTTTACGTCAGGACAGAAGGTAACAAGAGAAATAAAAGTGGAAAGTGTAACCGTGAGCCACAAGACAAGAAGCATGAAGATTAAAGAATGTGATAAAAACTGGCGTTACATGTAAGATAAGAACAGTCACTCTTACTAGCCAAGCATATTGTTTTGAAATTTCATTTTTATTGACTAGTGTTTCCCAATTTGCGCCGTCTAAGTGCAGGGTACTGTTACAAGATTGGCAGGAGCCTGTACCTGCACTCACTATTTCAGGTGCACTGCTTGAAGTTGTCAATAAGTTTGTGTATTTCGGTAGTTGTGTGAGTGCTGGTGGAGGTATGACGGACGAAATTTCCAACCGTATCATGAAAGCTAGGGCGGCATACGTCAACTTGAGCCACGTCCGGCGCCATCGCAACATTAGCCTGACTGCCAAAGGTCTGGTTTACAATGCTTCGGTGCGTACTGCCTTGCTCTACACCTGCGAAACCTGGCCTCACTGAGCTCAGTATATGCAGCGACTCTGCATATTCTATCGTCTCTGTCTCCATAGAATTACTTGCGTTTGATGGCATCATCGCGTGAGTAATTCTGAGGTCCACAGGCGCTTGTTTGGACACAGTGGAGATCATCATTCGTTGAGTGTCGTCATCTGGATACACAGTCTTCGGTAGCTTGGACATGTGCTACGAATGTCATCTCAGAGGCTTCCGTACTGGTTTCTGTTCGCTAGCCCTGGGATGGGATGGAAAAAGCGGAGAAGTGGTCAGTTCATGACGTGGCGTCGTGGGATGAAGGATATTTGTGCTAGGTTAACATCGGTTGGTGCGTCACATCTGCCTGGTTGGAGTCCGAGAGATAGCTCGAAATGTTATCGGATATGGTCAAGAATCGTAATCAATGGCGAACGTGCTTGAAATTCCTCCTTCCCTTCCCGACGACAATTGATGAATGCTGTTTGAACTTGTGAAATGTGACTGTTCTCCATCCAGATGAATTTCTTTATCCGTTCTCTACCTATATTTTTACTTTTGATCTATGTTGTTTTATTATTATTGTGTGGCGCATCTTTTTAGTGCCTTATAGTACCAAGCTTTTTGTGTTTAAATAAATAATAATAAGTGTTTCCCAATTTATTGACTTATAATCATTGTCAAATAATTCACTACCATGGAGAGGGTTATTCAGCAGTTGGTGTCAAAAGTATTGTACAAATGTTCTGTAGTGACGCAAGGGATATGACGTAACTCAGTAGAAATTTATAAACTATGTGATAGGCTGACCAGATAGAGCTAGGTGAAGTTAAGTTTGAGTGAGGGATGCAATGTTTGAAAATCTAGTAATGAAACCCGGGAGCCACACGCTACCAACGTACATTTATAACAACATGACCAAAAAGGAAACATTTTTTATAATCTATGCTTCTAATAATAAGACGTATATATATGTTATAGTACGGAAAAATGGACCTTTATCAATAATTTTTCGTAAACTAATTTGAACAACTGATATGAACTTTATTCTTATGAATTCGCACTAGTGACTTTTAAAGAACAATTTTGTGCAATAGTGAAACACAGAGTCTTACCTTAAGTAACTGATGGTCATACTGCAAAACGAATATTGATTCTGTATGGAAAAGCGATGGAAATGTGGGAGAACTAATGTATACAATCTATTCCCGATCTAAAATACAACATTTTTAAATAAATGGATTAGAAAGCCTTACAAAGCAGTAAATGATACAGAAATAATTTAGAAAACGGAAAAGATTTTCGAAAGATAAACCACTGGGTGAAACTTAAACTTTTGTGGAGTAATAAACATCAAAAGTGCGACACAATGAATGTTTAGAAACAGAGCAAAATGTGAATCGTAGGATAAGTGAACATTTTATTTTAATATTGACAAAAGTTTAATAACCAACTTGTCACACTGCGGGTGATTATTTCTTTAGAACTTTACTACGATGATATAATAAGAACAAATAAAACTACTCTAATACTTTAAGTAATTATAGGCCAGTAGAATACTCAGAAAAAACTTTTGGCTACATAGACTTATAGACTTTAAGTTTTTATTTACCGACAATCAAAGTCCCAACACATGTATGGCTGACTACAAGCGGTTTTGCTCTTGATTAGTGAAGACCTGTTCCATTTGGTTGGGCTAGGGTTCCGCTTTTTAGGTTTCATATTGAAGTATGACAGTGTAGTGCCACTGTCAACATAGAGTACAGTTAGTGGGCATTTTGCACAAACTCCCATCTCTAAGCACTTACCAGCACGTCTTCACATTGCTTCTTTTTGAATTTAACTTTGTTACACTTCTGAAACCTACAGTGACATGGAGCTGATGAACAGACTCTCCAAAATAGTGGAAGTTCGGTTTTAAATTCAGCATCGAACAAAAAAGATCCAGCGACTAAAACAGAGGGACGCCTAGTGTAATTGGATACCAACTTGATTTGTAATGGTTAACATCAGTGCACAGAAAAAAATATCAGGTTTGGAAAATCATGAGAAAAACGTAGTGGCAAAAATGAAGAAGTATGACGATGAAGCTTTTAGTACTTGGATTAGGATAAAATATGAGTGGATCTTCGCCAAGGAAATATACTAATGTAATACAATAATGTTCAAGTATACAGGACCAATTATAGATGTCTTATTATAATTAAAAAGCCACTTCAGTCTGTAACACACTGAAAATCAGATATACTGAAATATGGTCACATGTCTGCCTTGTCATTCATACTTTATACGCTAGTATTACTCAAAACAAATAAAGTTTTGATGTAGTCAGTGTTACTGCAGTAAAAGGAGTCTCCAAAACGAACGAGAAACTAGCTTTAAAGAAACATCTAATTGTTTGTTTGATGTCTTAGCTCGAATATCATACATAATGCTGTGTAACATTGGTGAAAGCAATAAAATGGGATTTTAAAGGTGAGTACTGGACAATAGTTGAGATAGGTACGATGCTAAAATATGGAGTTTCCACACAAACGACATAGTCACCTAGATTTTAGTGAGGATTCCATAACACACATAACCATGAAATGCCTCATTATGAGAAACTGAGCATGACCATACTTCGCAATTTCCTCACGGATAGTATGCACCTATTATGCTTAAAGTGCAATAAAATCAAATCATGTGATTTTACGACTGAAGATAATACTCCTGAGATAGTACACGAAGTAATAATGGTATAGCGGTTATTTCCATGTCCTGAAATAATTCACAACTTTCTTTTCTCTTGGTCTATATTTCACTGAAATACATTTATTTAAAATCCAGTACGTAAAAGCAGTCACCATACTATGTATGTTCCCGTAACAGATCTTTCATATCCTAGACTATAAGCTATGCAGTTATTTTGCAAGGCCTTTTTACCCTATCCAGTTGATCAGGCTGAAGTAGGTGGGGTGGGATTCGAACTCGGGACGCACCGACCGAAAGTTGAGTGCTTAAGATAACTTGTTATTTTAAACATAGTGCGTCAGTTTTGCTATGGTTCACTACCATTTTTTACGTGCCACCAATGAATAGATTTTTCTGAGGTAACTAATATCTTGTCTACTGTAACTGAATATATCCTAAACAAAATCTGTAGCACTCAGTTTATTTCGATAAGTTTCCATGTGTGGACGTTATTTTATTTACTTTTCGGCCATACCATGTTATTTGTTTTACCATTTTTGTGATATTTCATAATAGTAAACTCTACCTTCAAAACGGTTATAATCTCATCTCAGGCATGAGTTTGCATTGGTTTGCTATCTGTCCAAATAACTAAAGTCATGAACATATTCCCATCGGATGGCTACGCGACATATGTTTTATCCCCCTGGTAACACGTGGTAAGCTTGTCCAATACTAGTTTACTTACATCATAACTCAAGTAACGACACAGGGATGAATTCAGAAATTAAGCGAATTCCGTCTTCCTTAAACTAGTTAACATCTACCACAAGATACCGAATGAGATGCGTCCTAAACTTAGCGTTCAGTTAAAGTGTAAATAAACGAAAGCACAGGGTGACTTCTGATTAATTTTTGAAAAACGAAATTTGAAGGACTTTACTTTCAGTTATAAAGAAAAGGTGGCCACTTAACTTTATTCGCAGTAGGCCAATTTCACACTTCAGTTTCACCGTCAATCATCTTTTAGCGTAACACTAACAAGGTATGAATCAGTCTTTCATATTTTTCCAGCAATGTCTACGTTCATGAGGGAGTAAATGCTACTAAGAAAGGAAATAAGATGAAATGGCTATAAGTACTATATGGCTCTTTCACAATTTGTTTTGGGAGTTTTTCGTAGTGTCTGATAACTCGAAACAAAACGTACACTCGGTAAGAGTTGCTAATTGTTTGACTATGGCTTTGATTGTCTAATATGACATGGTGCCATTGTCGGCCAACAAGCAGCAAAAAGTGGCATATTCATTGTGATTAGGAAACAGTTATAATAATATATGTATATATATTATTATAACACCGATGGCTTATTTTTGGCAATCAATTGTCGCTCTTCATGGTTGCCTGGAGTTTTGACGCTCCTTAATGCCAACTTCATGCCCCAAATCATTTATATGTATAGGTGCTACTCAACTAAATATTCATGATACTAAAACGGAAGGTAACGAACAACTCCGGGAATCGCGCGATTTGCCTGGACTGTCCAATACCCAATGTCTTTTTCACTAGCACCCACAGGCTGGAGACTGAACTTGTCCGTCACGTCCAAGGTCATTGGTAGAGTAAGACACCTTGTAGCGGTAAATAATTCCCCAAAATTATTGACCACAGCAATCATCACTCAACATTGGATGCTGACCATCACTGTTTAAGTCGACTTGTTTAGCTGAAGGCTTCCGGTCAAGCATCCCCGCCATTTGGTACTCCGTCGTGTCACGTGCGTGCACGACTACTAGCTAGCTAAGCATTCACTTCTGCAGTTGTCTGTAGAATTCTTCTTTCGTTTCGAGGTCTGCGTTGTTGGTCGGTGCATAGCATTGTATAATTGACACTTTCCTTCCTTTGTAGTTGAATCTGGCGGTTATTGTCCTGGGCGAGATCGCCTCCCATTGCATCAGGGCTTTCGTTGCCGTTGGTGACATCATGATAGCCATGCCCTCGGCGTGCGAGTGGTTATCTTCTGGGTGACCGGAGTAGATCACTGACTCACCCGTTGACAATTTGGTGAGTCCATTCCCGTTCCATCTGCTTTCACATATTCCCAGTACTTGAATTTTGTATCTTTTCATTTCGTTTGCGATCTGGGCAGCTTTGCCAATCTCGTACATAGTACGGACATTCCATGTCCCCACAAAGACTTTTTCTTTTGTCTCAAGGAGATACATCGTGCTGAAGTTTCTGTAGCAGCATTGTTTACAGGGTGGGGTTGCTAGCCTCACGCCTGAGAAGGATGATTGTTACATCAATTTATAATTTAGAGGGAAGCGACCTTGTGGGTTGCTCCCCTTAAAAACCAGGAAAACAGGGAATAAACAAGCAGAAAAACGCCAGCACGGGAAAATAATTCACAACAAGAAGGGTAACAAGCGACAACAACAATAATAATATCACACTCAATTGCAGTTAACCAAAATGATACCAAAATCATAGACTCACTGACTTGAGCCAACTTGAACATGTAAATCCATCAATATATATACAGTTATAGGTATTAGTTAGTGTTAATCAAGCACAGAGTGTCAATTGATAGTTATAGCTGTTATTGATATACAATATTATATCCAAAGATTCAGTGTTTTAAAGTCAAATAATTGTAAAAGTTTTTCGCAACTTTTTGATAAGATATTCCACAAAAATCAGAGTTTTATGTAACTAAGCAAATGTAGCGCAGTTTTCGAAAAGCGCGCCACAAATTGGAAGATATGCAAACGAAAAGCAACAAGTTAGCAGAAGAGGCATCAAAGATAGGACTTCAGGTGAACATAGATAAAACAGAGGTGATGAAAATTCCTGGGCAACACCATCAACAGCAACAACAACAACTGACAACAATCAGCATAAATGGGAGGAACCTGGAAGAAACAACCTCCTTTACCTACCTGGGAAGCATCGTTTCAACTACAGGCGGAACTGACGAGGATATCAAAGCAAGGATCAGAAAAGCAAGACAAGCTTTCACTACTCTCAAGTCTGTGTGGAGGTCAACAACACTCAGCATCAAAAATAAGATCCGGATTTTCAACTCCAATGTGAAGTCAGTGCTACTATACGGATCAGAGACTTGGCGCGTCATAAAGAGCATCTCAAACAAAATACAAACCTTCATTAACAGTTGTCTTCGCTCAATACTCAAGATCAGATGGCCAGAAAAGATCAGCAACAGGGATCTTTGGGAGCGAACCAACCAGGAACCGATTGTGAAACAAATAGGCAGGAGGAAATGGAGATTGATTGGACATACTCTTAGGAAACCATCAAGTGACATCACTAGACAAGCCATTGCTCGAGTGGAACCCGAAAGGGAAGCGGCGAGTTGGTCGTCAGTGCAAGGGTGACGTGGAGGAGGTCATGTGAAGAGGAGATGAAAACGTGTGGGCAGACATGGAGCCAAGTGAAGACTCTAGCAGAGAACAGAACGCAATGGAGACGCACGGCTGAAGCCCTATGTTCCTGTAGGAATTAAAGGATACTATAATAATAATAAGCATTCACTTCTACCCGCGATTTGGCCCCGAAATATAATACGTACTTTGGACGACAAAATCTGGTCTTTTGCTTTATCTTTGGTACTCGAAGTGCAAACACTATAGAAGTTGTTGGTATAAGATCTTGCGTCGGTGGCACATTGGTTAGGACTCCCGCCGACCATGCACATGGTCCGGGGTTCGATCCCCTGCCGACGCACACCTGATATCTATAGTCGGCCTGTAAAATTTGGGCAACCGATATCCATGCTGAAAATTCCATACTTGTACTGAAAATACGGTGTGGAATCAAGCTGTAACCAAAAATTGAAAAAATAAAAAAATACAACTCGCGAACGTCGATACCTGCAGCCTCTAAACTGGTGAGCCCAACCACGAACTTCATCTTCAATAAACACGCAGACAAACTCGGTGACTTCGTTCCTTTTTGTGTTTGTTCTTGTACTCCTTTGTAATCGGCATACATTTCAGCATGAGTGATCCTAGCCCCAAGGTTATTCGCATTCGCTCAACCGCCAAAACAATTCAGCTCGTACCATATTGGCCAGATAATGCTGAAACGTGGTTTCAGTTTGCTGAGTCCGATTTTTGTGAACATGGCATGACCGATCAACGTTCACAGTTCCCTGCAGTTATTCACGCCCTACCGCGGGAATTCGGCAGGTACGTAACTCTGCAGATGTCGGGTCCAGAGGTAAGTAACTCGTACGAGTTGCTCAAAGCATCCCTCCTCAAGAGAAACATTCTCACGGATCGACAACGTCTTGATGAATTATTTCGTAACATCGAGTTAGGGGATCAGTCAGCCGTGAGCATGCTGGCAAGAATGAAAGAGATTATTGGCCAAAGTCAGTTCGACGAAGGACTGTCCAGAGAACCATTTTTATCCAAACTGCCACAGTCAGTTCAGACTGTACTTGTGACACTTCATGGTGTTCTTATGGATGACTTAGCTGTCTCTGCAGATAGAATTCTAGAGATAACTAAGTGGCCAGTTACCGAAGTATACTCAGTTACCGAACAGACTTCGAGGAAGGATTCTGCGATGATAGAGTTATGCAACTCCATCCAGCAGATGCTTAGGTCATACGAGCCTAGCAATTCCTTCTACCGTCGTCCTAATCCCCTCAACGGCAAAACGCACGTGGACGATCTAAGTCCAACACACGTTCTCTCAAAAATCCTGACTGGTGTTGGTATCAAAACACCTATGGCCAGGAAGCGAAATGTTGTCGAAAACCTTGTGATTTCGGCAAAGCCTCCAAGTCTGTGGGAAACTATCCCACCGGCACGCGTTAGCGGCAACCGTCGCCGGTGGCACTAGCCGCTTACTTCACATCCATGATGTAATGAGCCAGACTAGATATCTAGTCGACACAGGCGCCGAAGTCAGCGTCCTTCCTGCTACAGCAGCAGATCGATAGAAAGAACCTAACTTCAACTTACAGGCTGCAAATGGAAAACCAATTACAACCTATGGTCGGAAATACGTCTATCTGAACGTAGGTTTACGCAAACCTATTCAGTGGATTTTCCTAATCGCTGACGTCACAATGCCCATCATTGGCATGGACCTACTCAATCATCATGATTTGCTCGTAGACGTCCGCCGTAAACGACTAATTGACAACACTACTAGTTTGTCTATCAAAGGCATAACTTACAGTGGCCCCAGTTTGTCAATCGTTAAGATGAAAGCAATCCTCGATCCAACTTTTCAACCGATTGTTGACAAATATCCGGAACTCAATTGCCCATCTAACGATCTCCCGTGTATAACCAGCAATGTTATGCACCACATCATAACCTCAGGACAGCCCGTGACATCTAAAGTACGACGACTGGCCCCTGACAAACTGAGAATTGCCAGAAATGAATTCGATCATATGCTCACCCTTGGCATCATTCGGCCATCGAATAGTCCATGGGCATCCCCATTGCATATGGTACCGAAAAAGGATAGTAACGATTGGCGACCCACTGGTGATTACCGGCGAGTGAACGCCAAAACAACCTCCGATTGCTACCCTCTGCCTCACATACACGACTTGACGGCAACGTTATCTGGAGCATCTATATTCTCCAAAATCGACTTGGTTAAAGCGTATAACCAAATCCCCATGGCAACGGAAGATATTCCGAAAACGGCCATCATCACGCCTTTCGGACCTTTCGAATTCCTACGTATGCCATTCGGCCTCCGGAATGCGGCCTAAACATTCCAACGCTTCATCGGTGAAGTATTTCGCGGTCTCAACTTTGTATATGCATACTTAGACGACTGCCTCAGTGCCAGTCCAGATAAGGAAACTCACCTTAGACACTTGGACTTGGCATCTGAAAGGTTACGCCAACATGGTGTTACCATCAATATCCAGAAGTGTCAAATAGGTGTTGACTTACTCGATTTTCTGGGTCACACTATTGACTGTCAGGGCATTCGCCCACTAGCTACTAAAGTTGAAGCGATACTGAACTTTCCGGAGCCAAAGACAGTGAAATGCCTTCGCACTTTTAACGGCTTGGTAAGTTATTACCGACGATTTATTCCTAACTGTGCTTCTCTGATTCAGCCATTAACACACCTCCTTCGAGGGAATAACAAGTCTATCGAACTCGACACGTCTGCTCGACATGCTTTTACTCAGGTAAAGAAAGCTTTTGCGGATGCCACCCCTCTTATGTATCAGGATCCAAGGGCACCGTTAAGTATCTCAGTTGATGCATCAGACACTGCAATCGGCGCAGTTCTGCAACAACTAGTCAACAGAGAGTGCTAACCATCGCTTTCTCGAGGCGCCTTCAATTAGCGGAAACGAAGTACAGCACATTTGGAAGAGAACTTCTAGCTATGTACTGTGCTATACACCATTTTCGACATTCAGTTGAGGGTCGTGAATTCATAACTTTCACTAACCACAAACCTCTGACGTACTCTCTGAACTCAACTTCAGATAAATATTCACCCAGGGAATCACGACAACCTGGATTACGTTTCACAGTTTACATCGGATATTCGCCATGTATCCGGAGTGAACAACACTGCGGCAGATGCCTTGTCACGTATTTGTTCCTTCACCCAAATCGATGGCATAGACCTTGCAAAACTGGCTCGCCTTCAAAAAGAAGATACCGAGCTTCAGCATGAGTTGTCGAAAACAACCCTACAATTAGCCGAGAAACCCTTAGGTATAGGAAAGGATACTATTCTCTGTGACATTTCCCTTCCGTTAGTTCTCCTAGGGATACGAAACGCTTTAAAAACCGACGCTGGTTGTACTACCGCTGAGCTAGTATATGGCACGACACTACGACTAGCAGGTGAGTTTCTTTCTCCCTCGAGCTTCCCACTAGCGGTAGATCACTCCTCATACGTCAGTAGGCTTACAAGCGCTATGCGTTCAGTTAAACCTGCTCCCCTTCGACCACAGTCCATAGACGTCTTCGATCACCCCTGTTAAAAACTTCTTATGTAGCATCACATAACACAAGTAAACGATTTTTTCTTATAACCGTACATTAAACATGCACTTAGAAAAAAATTAGATGTATATATATTATTTTTCCGATATTTTGAACTTGACATTATTTTACTGTATAGATGCAGGTCATTTTTTTTGGTAAAAAAAGCTTATTTGATACATTTTCCCCGACAAGGTTCTTAGCATTCTTGTTTTCTTTTACAGGTGGAACGGGCACTGGACAGGAAACAAACGAAGCACGGGATCCAACGAACAACATCGAGGAAGCTATGTACAGACACCCTATTAGCATAGGCAGACAGACCAGCAGGCACTCCATCAAGCCGCTCGGAAGATTTTTTTCACCCATAAGGGAACCATTGAGATTTTTTACTTCCGGCTGGTCATGTCTTAAGATCACCCACAAACCCACTAGGGGGGGAGTGAGCTGTAGCGGTAAATAATTCCCCAAAGTTATTGACCACAGCAATCATCACTCAACATTGGATGCT